GTTAGGCTTTATTCATCACCATAAATCAGAATATATGCCGGGGATCTTAACACTTGTAATGGTTCTTATAAATTACCCATCAATTGATTTTTTTGTGAATGAATGATTATTTCTTATCAATTGAACTAACATATTTAGTCACACGTGTTAAGATATGTTCTCAAACCTTAGGTCGCTTATAAGATACTTAAAAATTGCTTATCAATTGAATTTTTGTAAAAATGTAATCCGTCCTTATTAACTGAACTTACGTGTGTTGGCAAATTTCTTAAGTATTGATTTTGATGTTCACTTTCTCGAGAATTGGCAAGTAACATACATTATGGAATTCATATTTTCCTTCCATTGATTATCAAAGGATAGTGGCCCAATACATGTCGGCTCGTGGTAATAAAAAATCACCTTTATAGAAAATGTTTATATTCTTGTCAGCGTGAGAGTTGTGTTAGTGAATCATTTGTAAATATTTATGTAAGTGACCTATAGTTTTGAATATATGTCTACATAAAAGTGATCAATATCGAATTTACTTCAACATTTTTCTATCAGAAAAAAGTTCGAAGGATAGTGGCAAAGATTGAAGGGCGCTGTAGGTTTTTTTTTTTTTTTTTTTTTTGTAATACATGTGAAATAAAAATTATATATTAACGATGTATAAGTGAATAAATTTTTACCAATAATCCACCGTCTAAACAAACTCATAATTTTCCAGTCAAAATGTGCGTGATCTCCACTTTCCAGGCCCAATTGAATAAAGCACGGTGTAAAATAACGTGAGCGTCATCGGCTGCGGCCCTGTGGGTGTTGAAACCCCGTCGTCCAAAATCCGATGGCCTTGATTTGTAACGTACGGGTGCAGATGGCTTCATCGTGCAATAAGAGTGTTTGGATAGCAAAAATATCTCAAATAATATAATATTTCACTTTCATCATAAACACATTTTTCAATTCACCTTTTTATATTCTCAATCAATTTTTTATCTCATATACATCACATCATAAAAAGTAATACAATAATTATTTCAAATAATATTTTAAATAATACTCTATCCAAATAAATCCAGTAACGTTCTTGCCCAGAAACTGACACGTGCCACCTTACACGACGTCCGTCGAACGAACGGCGACGCCTTTCGGATAGCGCAACCGGGTTACTTTTTCAGCACTCCCAAACTATTCCTGCTTTTAGCTGGGTTGGGAATAAAAGATCCACCAATTCTAGTGATCATCGAATGTGGGCCAGTCTCTCCACTTTAACCTTTCAAGTTTCAAATGTGGGCCAGTCTCTCCACTTTAACCATTCAAGTTTCGACGTCACCCGATGATGAAAGTCTCTTTCTACCTGCGAAGTTACTAGGAAACCTTCACGATCATGGAGCCCTCATCACGTTTATGACCACCGATAAGGAGGACAAAGGCCTAGGGTAAGTTAATTTCGTCAAATCATCTTAATTACCTTTTCTTTTTTTTGTCTTTTTCTGAGAAACTCAGACTTTTGATAAGTAAAGTTACTCTGGGAGAGAACTTCAAAAGCCGGCAACTTTTGAAGTTTCCCCCAGACCTTAAATACCCAAACCCCAAACCCCGCCGAACCGATGTGGGATAGAAACCTCCACAAATCTTAATTACCTTTTCAGTACGGTAAATTTCAGATTGCAGTACAAATCTATTTGGCTATTGTATGGTTGCGTCAGTGAAGTCCTTCGACTTCAAGGTAGGTTAATTTCGTCAAATCACGTCATGGCCTTTTCGCTTTTCAGTACAGTAGTGCTACAAAAGTAGTGACTATCGTACTAATCACGTGACCGAGAATGCCGCATTAAAATGACCACAAAGTCCACGAACTCTTATATATACCAAAAAAAAAAAAAAAGGATAAAGATGAAAAGGATAAGACCGCTCAAAGAAGTTGTGCTTGTCCACTCTGCTTTTTTTTTTTTTTTTTTTTTTTGGGATCTTACCATTTCAGTAATTTGACAATTTTGACGTTAAATGTCAAATTTGTGAATTAAATCCCAGTGACTAATAACAAAAAGTGGAATCTGATTTTTTCAATATAATGTATATTTAATTATCAATTAGTCTAGTTAGCTTAAAGCTGAGCTTTAATACTGAAAGATACAACGTAAAATTATATCAAAATATATGTGTTTGGATTGTAAATTATTTGAAATAATATTGTGAAAAAAGTACTGTACAACTTTTTTGATATGATATATGCGAGATAAAAAGATAATTAGAAAATGTGTTGATGATACAAACAAATCAGTATGCATAAATAAGGTGTAAATAAAGTGAAATAGAAGACAATCCAAACACACCGATTTCACAAATTATTTACTCTGCCTAATGTTGGGAATGGAAGATTTAACAAAAGAATTAAAATCCTTTTCAATTCTTTTAAGTTTTTTTATTAATATTATATATATATATATTCATTGTTTCTTTTTTTTTTCCTTAAAAGTATAAACGAATTGGCTTTGATAATTTTCGCTTACCATATATCTCTCATAAGATTATCACTATTCAATAAGATATAAATTGATGTTTTTATGCTATAAGAGTACATTGCTTTATATTTTGTTTGGATTATACATTAATCAGGGAAAATTTTGAGATTCATTAAACATGTTCATTGTATTTTTATTTTTTCAATCATATTTTTATCCCGTCTAAAATACATAAAAAAAGTGCTACATAATTTTTATTCCAAATGAAGTAATTAATTTTATTTCATCTAAAGTAAATATTGCCATTAACATTTAGTTGCTTAGATTCCTTTTTTAATTTTTTTTTTGTAATGTTTTATAAAAACTCGTTGAGTTTAACATATTTTGATCATGTAAAATATAATTTCGTTTTAACTTAGTCAACAATTTAACAATGAAGGGCAAAGTATATATATTTTGAAGTTCAACAAGTCAAACTGTTAATATGGGCCAAGTTCAAGGGATCAAAACATAATTAACCCTAAAACTAAACACCTTCTAAGTCATCGACAGTGAGAATTGGATGGGGAACGTAAGGCTCTATTTGGATGGGAAATTTGGGTGGATTTTTGATTTCAAATCCTTGCCCAAATCCAGGCAACTTGCTTAGATAAGTTAAAGAGAGATTTTGATTTGAAATCCATCAACTAAGTGAAGGGATTTTAGAAGTTAAAATGAACCAAATGTGTTTCAAATTCACTTATTTTGACAAATGATTTGAAATACTCCCAAATCTCTTTAATTATTTACATCATTCATGAGATATTTATATTTATTAATTATTAATTATTTTAATATTTAAAATATATTTTATTAATTGATGTATTACAAATTCAAATGCTTATTAAGTAATTTAAATAATTAGAGTGATTTGGATGAATTTTAAATTATTCATCAAATTTCTCAATCCAATCGAAGTTTTGAATAATTTCAAATCCCTTTTTTTTTCACAGCTCTCGATCTCTCATCCTAAGACTTAAAGTCATCAATCATTATGAAGTCGAGCACTTCTGGATGTGAATGGTCAGCGAGTCCCTGCCATGGCGAACTCCGCTGTTGTGCCTCTTTCGCTGCCCATGGGCTTCTGCTCCTGCTCTGGTGTCCAGGGAAGGTTTGAAACAAAGATGACTTATTTTCATGTTTGATTTGAGATTCTAGATGTCTGAGAGAGAATTTATGTGTGTGTGAGGATGTTCGACACCACTAGCAGCGCCAACATCAGAAAAGATGAAGAACAAGAGCAGCAGAGGAAGAAAGGAAAAAAATGGAAAATGCGATTTTTTAAAAAACTTTATGCCCCAAATATCTTGTCAATTATAAATATACCTTTTTTTTTCTTAGTTTTATCAAATCCATTCAAATGAATTCTCTCTTGAATTCAAATTCAATAATCCAAACAGAACTTAAGGGAATTTCAAATTTTCCATTACATATCTCGATCCCAACCCAATCTCAGGTTTGTTCAAGTACATTTCATGTCAAATGTGCAATTACAAGTGTGTTTGGATAGGAGATTATTTGGGATAATTTTTTGAATAAATTACTGTACCACTTTTTGATATGATATATATGAGATAAAAAAGTGACAGGAAAATGTGTTCATTATGCAAGCAAGTTAGTGTGCTTAAATAAGGTATAAATAATATGCACTCCAAACACACTTGTACGTTTGAGGTACATTATATCTGTTCATTTTTTCTGTCAAATAGAAAACTACGTAGTTTCATTTACTAATACTACTGTTGATGTGGCACATAACATTGAATGCATATTTAGGGGATGTTTGGTAAATGAGTTTCAAATTCAATTTTAGCATGAATGGCTTACTTTCTAAATCAATATGACTACACGTAATTGTAAATTTGACAAATTTAAGGATTTCGTCCTCAAATGCTTACCTAATCTCATATGAATCATGCGGCATGAAATTCTAAAAAACATCATTTATGAATATTATTGAATTTGAAATCCATTTACCTAATATCCCCTAAATATGCATTCAATGTTATGTGTCATATCAGCGATATTTATAAGTATAATTACGTAGTTTTGTATTGGACAGGAAAAGTTTTGTGTTGAACACAAAAATTAGACGGAGGATCCCGTCTATTAAAAAATAGAGCCAAAATGAAAAAATATTCAAAAAGGAAAGGAGACACCTACTTTGGGAAGCTATACTCCACGCGACGACGAACGCGAAGGTTTGGCTTGTAATTTGCAAAGGGACATTGCATCACGAGGGGTGACCATTAAGGCATTAACCAAACATGTCCGGTGCGAAAGAAGCTGAGGTCATTTTCGACCTTTACCCATTTCGCCACGCGTCCTCCATGGGAGACGTGGCGTCGCGTGGCTGTGATTTGAACTCAAGAGTCCTCGTTTGTCGACACGTACCCCTTAATGTTAAGTTTAGACCATATCTGCCACGTAGGAATCCCTCGTGGCACCCATCCTAGTCAGCATACTCCTCCAGCCCTTTATAAATCCTCCTCGCTCCTCCTCTTTGGCCTTTCACCGGAATACCCATTTACTACCATCATCGTCCTAAAAAACTGTCCTCTTCTCCCGCTTCATAATTTCTGCAGCTTTACTTCTTAACGGAATCGACGCTTTTTTTTTTCTTTTATCAGGAAAATTTCCACTCCACCGCCGGAAAATGAAGACTCTGGCCGTCGATCATTATCTGGATTGCCTGAGCGCTGATGATACTGATGCATTCTTGGCCGCTTTTTTCGATTTATTTTCAAGCCCTAAGCAAAAGCGAGATTATGTTTAACTTGCCAGAGCTTCGAAGCTATTCCTTGCTTTGTCTCTCAGATGGCTTGCAAATTACTAGTATTACCTAGCATTAGTAGTATATTATTGACCGTAATCGGCAAAATGAAGGTATTTGTTCTAGTTTAAACCTCTTCGATTTTGGTAGATCGTTGATTTTGGCCAAATTCTCGTTTTTTGTGTTGATAGAATTTGGTGATCCGACGACGATATACTGCCCACAAGTCATCGATTTCTAGCCTTTGTAATATGCACTGCATATTTCTCCCTGATCGGTGCCTTTTTTTGTAACTCTTAGATAATAGTACAGGAAAAGGGTTTTTGTATCTGTAAAATTTTTTAGTACAAGTGGAGATGATCAAAATTTTTGAAGTCATCATCGTTGACTAGTAAACATTTAAGAAAGCGTAGAAAATATAGGCGGGGAAGTTTTCATTCCCTGTTTTGTTAACTGGATCACAAGAGACGTGCCATTTCCCATGAAGATTCAACCAATTGATTTCACCTCACCCGAAGGATCATCAGCTCCTCGATATGAGCCGGTGAAGCCGGTAATCAAGTCTCGGTTCAAGCGGCTTTTCGAGCGGCAGTTCTCGAGTGTCTTGAAGATATCGGCTCCGGAGAAGTCAACAGGAACCATCGCCGGTGGAGGAGAGTCACATTTTGGGAGGGAAAATTGCGATGACTTCGAGCTGAGTTCTGTTTGCTTGGATAAGATGGTGGAGAATTTCATCTACGAGAGCGGTGACAATAAGCAGAGGTGTGGCCGGCAGCGGTGCAAGTGCTTGAGGGGGAACGGTACGGACAGCTCAGACGATGAAGCCGACTCAGTCAATTGCTTCGGTGAATCAAACCATACCAGTTGCCCCGATGCATGTGATTCCCTCAAGGTAATTCGTATTTCAGGTTGCACAAGGATATTGTGAGGTTCCAGTTTTCTGAATTTTGTCGTCTTTTGTTCTTCTTTTTGGTGGTTGTGAGCAGAGTTTGGTACCATGTGCTTGTGTTTCTGAGAGAAACCTATTGGCTGACATTGCGAAAATCGTTGAAAAGAACAAAATTGGCAAGCGCAAGGACCATTTTTGCAGAAAAATTGTGACTGATGATCTTTTAACCCTCGGCTATGATGCTTCAATCTGCGAGTCTCGCTGGGAAAAATCCTCCTCTTTCCCAGCTGGTAAAAACTCCGCTTTAAACTTTGTCCTGCCTTTTACTCCTTAGCTATGATCTTGAAATTTTATCTCATATATTATGGAACATTTGTTTTTTGCAGGGGAATATGAATACGTCGATGTTTTGTTTGAAGGCGATAGGCTGATAATTGACATCGATTTCAGATCAGAATTTGAGATTGCAAGGTCCACTAAAGCCTACAAATTGATCCTACAGGTCTTGCCGATTATATTCGTCGGCAAAGCTGATCGTCTTCAGAGGATTGTGAGCATTGTCTCTGAGGCAGCAAAGCAAAGCTTGAAGAAGAAAGGCATGCCCTGTCCCCCGTGGCGAAAAGCTGAATATGTCATGGCCAAATGGCTCTCTCCTTACACCAGAGCTACACCGAAATTAACTCCAATGCCATCAGCAATGGATTCCCATGAGAGGGATGTGAAAGTTGAAAAGGAAGATCCTTTAAATCTAAAGGAGGGCTCTGGAAGAGAGTTTGAGCTGACGATCGGAGAGAAAATCTCTCGAGTTGAGACAAATGATTGTGCTGGTGAAAATGAAGAGAAGTCTCTGATGGTGGCAAAGCAATGGAAGCCCCCGGAGACTAAGCCAAAGAGTTCACAGATTGGTGTCAAGATCCTCGCTGGTTTAGCTTCTGTCATTGAAGGCTAGACTTGAAGTTTTGATATTTTTAATTTTTGGATTTTCTTCTTTTTCTCATTTTGGTTTGATCATCGAAGGACCAAGGCTGAATGATTCCCTTCTGTTTTTATTGCAAGGGCATGGATAGGTAATATACAGAAATAACATGATGCTAGAAAATTAGAAATAGAGAATAACAGCTTATATGGTAGCTTGTACTTCGTCCTGGATGAGAACCCCACATATCTCATAGTACTACTATATCCAGTTTGGCCTTGGATTTGACTTGTTCATCGTCATCATTTTGCTAATATTAAAGTCCCAACTCAATTTGTGGTGCAAAATTGCTGGCTAGATTCTATACCATTTCCCTTCTCCTCCTGCGAGGGCGAGCAGCATTGACCCTATACAGAAAGGCAAATCGATAATGACCTGGTATGGCAATTTTGTGCATATGTATGTGTCGAGTATGGTAAACTCGTGTAGCTGTTGTACTCCGTATGTTAGCGTAAAAGAAAACGGTTGGGAGTTGGGACAAGAAACGGCCAGCTCAGCCATAAAATGGTTTTCCTAATGTTCGAAGTTAATTGGGCTGCCGGGAGAATAGAGAAAAGAATAGATTTCACGGACGGTCTGCACCCTGTCACGGGTTCATATCATAAAATGAGTCCTCCAGACAAATATGATGATTTATGATGGCCAAAAGGGGATGCGGTTAATTATTTATGGCCACCGAAAGATGGATGAATGCAGGGGTTTTCATGGACTGAGCCATCTTGAGCTGCATTTACAGTAGTCTTTAACTTTGCTTATTAGTTATTACTACCGGAGTAGTATATATACGGGTAGTATTAGAGCCTAAGCTGTTGACGGCGAAGGTGATTATAAAAATTTTAACTACTACTGCTAGCTGTGGTGGCTGAAATGAAATGCCTTAAAAGGTGTTCTATCAGCTCCGGGACTGAAGACGGTCCACCACTGCCTCTTTTGGGAAATTGTATTCAGGGAGCTCTTTTGATTACTTAAATTAAAAGTGCTTGGAATTTTGGGCTTTTTTGTCACATTAAAATCATTGCCCGCCCCTGTGAGATACCCCGAATTGTTTTTTCTTTTTCCTTTTTTGTTTGCATTTAAAATTTTTTTTTTTTTTGGCTTAGCGGGCAGCTGCAGTCAATCCTAGGTATTTTACTTTAGTATACAGTGCATGTGGTTTAGGATCTGTTAGTTTATTTATTTTTTTTGTAAAGCATGTGGGTCAGGTTGTTAAATTCCCCAAACGCAAAGCTATGATGGGAATATTTAATGAAAGGTAAACAACAGTAGAACATTTTGTTTTGTTAAATGGATGCTGCAGTTTTTTTTTTTTTTTTTTTTAAATATATATATAAAGCTTTACAGAGAATAGCGGGTTGATTGCAATGATTCAATCATGTGAATGTGTCAAAATGATCAGAGAATTTTACAAGGGTCCTGCACCCTTTTAGTAAAGCCTCCAAAAAAAAAAAATTTTTTTCCAACTCAATTACTCTCAATATTCCGTCTTTCGCTTTTGGGTAGGAGCGAAGGTCTTCTTAATTACTTTCATCTGAATAAATGGAGCAGCACGTATTGTCCGGGTAATGTTTTTTTTTTTTGTCAGACTTTTTCAAGTAAAGCAATTAAACCTAATCCCAAAGTCCACCTCAAAAGCCGGCAACTCTTGAGGCAACCTTGGGGACTTAACTACCCGACCCTCAAACCCCTTAGAATCGATGTGGGACAACGGGAAGGTTGGAAGGGAAGCTTCTACTAGACCTTAACTAAGACCCACTTACCTCAGAATTCCCCCCCGACTTACGTCTTTGTCTTTTTTTGTCAGACTTTTTCAAGTAAAGCAATTAAACCTAATACCAAAGTCCACCTCAAAAGCCGGCAACTCTTGAGGCAACCTTGGAGACTTAACTACCCGATCCTCAAACCCCTTAGAATCGATGTGGGACAACGGGAAGGTTGGAAGGGAAGCTTCTACTAGACTTTAACTAAGACCCACTTGGTCACTTGGAAGGGAAGGTCCGGGTAATGTTGCTTGGTGGGGTAGTGAAGGATGTCTCTACCTTGGCCAGCTAATTTTCTCCTCAGAAATTTTGACACAATCATCCCTACTTATATCGACCATAAATATTTCATTTGATTATAAACAACAGATATAGTTATGGGCACTCACAAGTCGCAACCCAACACTGCATTGCGTATGTGAGATAAAAAGATAATTAAAAAAAATAATTAAAAATATATTTATAATACAAATAAAATAATATTTTAAAAAAATTTTGCTATCCAAATATGCTCATTTTGAAATATCTCAAAACACTTTTTTGAGGAATATGGTAGTAACTAATAAGAAAGTTGCAACATAGCTTTGTTACCGCAACACGCCAAGTCAAAGGCGGATGCTTCACCGAGGGGTTTGGCAGAGTAACTTGTTGGACTAGAATACAAATTTACTAGGCTAGGGGCCGGGAGACTGGAAAATACGAAGCCAAAACTGCTTCCTTCTTGATGGTCAAAAGAAGGGCATGGATCCTCTCTTTCTAGAAGTGCTGTCCTTTAGGCTTCACCTGACCAGACTTCATCCCAAAGTAACTCCCAACTCTCAACTGTCGGCACCCTTTTGACATTTTTGTCTTCGGCAGTAGTAGGGTCCCCCTTCCATTGGTATTTCCATTCTTTTCAAGCTCATTGGGCCGAGGCCTTGTATGTTTCGATGGATCACACTGATGTTGGCCAAGAAGCTCGATATAACAATTGGGTTATTGTCGAAAGCTGTTGGCTGGTTGTTCATCCTGCCGATTTGATGAGGTTTTCGCCCGTCTGCAACAAGGAGTTAAGGCATAGCCTGTACAAGGTTAAGAGTTGTATGGGTTTAGTTTTGACTTATAGTCTCCATCTGTGATCTGACCCAAAAAAAAAAAAATTAATCTTTTCTACACTGATAATGAGCATTGAATGAATGATAATTATGTAAAATTTGAATTTGAAATTTAATTTTTGCATAGATGCCAACGATGATGATGTATACAGTTAGTGTAGGAAATATTTACTCAGAAAAAAAGAAGAAGAAAGAAAGTGGACTATTCTCTAGTTTTCTAACCCCTTTTAAGGTTTCAATTAATATCTCTTGATTTGGTTGCCAAAAAATAAAAAAATAAAAAAAAAGGTCGGGGGCTTTTTGTTTGTCAATAAAATTGGTTTGACGAGTACAAGTCCACCGGCCACTATCAGGCCACCTGCTATATGGTGACGCAGTAGGTAATGGGATTTAGACCCGTCTTTTAAATACTATTCATTTGGAAGTTTCAGGTCTGAAATCTGAATTGGCAAACTCGTCGCAATTCTCAGTTTCTGTACTATTCTGGACTGTCATATATGTGAGCATTAATGTCGTATGCGTGCTTATATTATATATGTAAAGCTTGTAATATTCTCAGGTTAGGTCAAGTATAGCAATTAAACGACCATCCCATCAAGTAGCGAGGCCTATATAAGATCATGACTTTCGGATGGCCCATGAAAATCCATTCTATGCAGGGAGTTTTTTTTTTTATTATTATTTAACAAGAAACGCTATTCAAAAGTACGCACTAGATAACTCTCGTCCAGCGTAATAGCCCGTCAACTCCATGGAAAATTTGACGTATGCACTAGATAAGGCTGTTGAGCAGGGAACTTTCACTTTTGATGTCCATGTTAAACAGGAGAGGATTTTTTTTTTTTTTGGGGGGGGAGGGGGAGGGGTGCTAACAGGTGAGGAGTTTTGCTAGAAAGCAGTTCGTCCATAGTGCTAAAAGACTACGCCTTGAAAATCCCAGAAATTGAACAAATTTTCTACTGTATACTTTCACTTTGGCTTGATTTTATCAGGCGCGGGGATATTTTTTTGCTTTTATTATGATAGAGATCATACTGAGAAAAGAAATCTTTTTTTTTTTTTGGGACAAAGTGGAAACTTGGATTTAACTAGTCCCTCCTATCCTCTGTATCATTTTCGTACTAACCAATATATATATCTATATATATATATTTGTTTGACAACCATGCCTGCTTAGAAATTTACACGAATTTTCAGTAGTTTAGAGCCTAATGCTATTACCAAAATTAAAATTCATGTTAGAATCGAGAAAACGGAAAGAGCGAAAGACCTAGAGGTGGAGGGCACCCACCCTAGGATAAAAAATATATATATTTAATGTGCGGCAGCCAAAAGTTATGATCGTTATAGGAATAGTACCTGTTAATTACCAAGTTTTGGAAAACAAAAAAAAAAAAATTTTTTTTTTGTGGGTTACACACAGAACTACAGAAGATTGGGCTTGAACAAATTGTCATAACTAAGACAGTTCTCGAAGATGTGGCAATAACATGAAGGAATATGTTGGTCATCCAGGGGGGATAACATATCTATTACAGACATTTTACAGTTTTCCCGTCTCTTCTTTACTATCTGAGAATAAGAATCACGCCTTCACGCCACGGAACCTGTTCAAGGGTACCTTTCTTCTTCTTTTTTTTTTTTTTTTTTCTGGACAACGATAATAATTATATAACTTATTCTGTCATAATCTACAGGAGAGGGGGAGACTAAGAAGATTTGTGTGTTATGAACTAATAGATATGTAAATCTGGCTGGATCAAAAAAATGTTATGGCCTAAGTCCCTCCCAAGCTCAGTGGTTTGTTCAATGGTACCTTTCGAGTTGCGATTCAATTGAATTGCTCCTGCTTCGGGGATGTTAATTAATGCATTCATGAAGGCCCATGCTTTGGGCTCTCAAAAGTGACCTGCAAATCTGGACCGTGGACTACGCAAGCCACAGCGTCACGGTGTACCTGTAAATTAAAATACTACTAGGTGATGTTCACCGTGCTTGCGCACGGTGGTACGTTGTAAGTATGCTCAGGTTGAGAGGACAGTAAGCATTTATTTAAAAATAGATTTGTTGTACAGAGAAATTATTTAGCTGACCGTGCTTGTTTTTGAATTCTTAACAGGGTTACGGAATATATATTGCAAATATAAGCACATTTGTATTTTTTGTCCTATAACCTTTGACATGCACTTTGGTAGCTCGTTAGGAGTGAGTACGGAGGCATTGAGGCTAGAAAAAAGGAATGTTTGGAAGCATTCGCGTGTTCGGGGTAACTTTTTCAGCAGGAGAGAATTTGATTTGGTAAGTGGATTTTCGTTAGTCGATGGCGTTGTCACAGTAGGCAATTGTATGAGAGCCGAAACACCAGACAGAGAAATAACAACTCAATGGATACAGAACCTGGTAAAGATGCTCGATGACCACCCAAAGTAACATTGGCAGGATCAGCAAAAGAACTTTGTATAGGAGGTGGACACTGGCTGGTTCCAACATTAGCACGATAGGCACTACATGGCTGATCAGAACCAGCAGAAACACGAACACCTGTGTGTATGCCTGGTGAAGCCGCTTCCTGGACATCAGCTCCGCGTTTTCTTTTTGAGAGGCGAGCTGTAGGTCCAGGACCCGAAGGAGCAAGGGCCATATTTTTTTTCTTTGCAGCATTAGCTTCCCTGCAGCGCCGCAAGAGGTCATCCTTCTTTTCCCGTGCGGGTTGTGAGAGTAGCCCATGAGCATGAAGAGAAAAAAGAAGAGGCTAAACAAATGTATAAAAGATGGAATGAGCATGAAGGCTAAGCAGCAACAAAAAGTTTGAATGATGACGAAGTTCTAGCAGCAAAGTTCACATAGGGAAAGAGTAGAGAGTACCTTTAACTGAAGGAGATGGAACACACAACCTGCATGCAAGAAACACAAGGAACGGACTGAACGTTAACGACACATGAGCTGAGCAAAACAGCAGTGGCACATCTAGGAAGAAACAACAAAGAACAGTTCGACGAACAAGGACACATGGAATGACAAAATAAGCAAATAAAACCAAGCGCATACGGCTAAGAGGAGTAGCAGTAGCTTCAAAAACACCAGCATGTAAAACAACGGGGCTAAAGAGAAAGAAAGGCGCAAGTAAGGGGCTAACAAAGTCAACGCACACAACATGACCAGCCAAGCCGCGGATAAACGTAAACCATCTAAGCAGCAGGCACCATGGAAAAACAGTGTAGGGACAGGAACTAATCTCACAAACGAAAAAAGCTAACCAGTAAACAAGCGAAACTTGAGTGCAGAGTGATAGAACCACAGCCTAATTAAGCTCAGAACCTGCATAGGAAGGAAGCAAGAAATATAAAAAAAGAACCGAAAAGTAGAAATAGAACGAGAACCTCTTCCAGCTAACAGCAGCAAGGAGTATATTGGCGGTGAGAGGAAGAGCCCCAAAAAATGCAACAAAACCAGCGAAGGTTGAGGAACAGGTCCAAAATAAGGTGGAGGAGAGGAAGGGATGGCGAGGCGCCTGCAAGAAGGAGGACTAAAAAAGCTACTCTCCACCTCCGGCCATGGAAAGGCGGGCCAAGAAGCTCCATGAAAAGCCGTAAAGAGTGCCTGCGTGCTTAAAATCCGAGCAACCATTAAGGCGGTTGAAATTAGCGCACAGTCGGCCTGCATGTATAGCTGCCGTGTCTACTCTAAAATTATATATTGATGATGATTATTGATGGACAGCGATATATTAAGGTTCCAGGGTCCTGCTATCTGCCTTTAATTTAATAGGAAGCTAATCATCACCATTCCAATTTTAACAGCTCAATACAATATGAAAAGCACGCTGCTTAGCAAAGATGCAATAATCAGTGCTGCGTTCCAAGGAGCTTTCGTATAAGGTTGCTAGCAGAGATGCTATAATTAGCGTTGGGTTCCAAGGACAAAAGGCATTTGATGGAGGACGCCGATAACTTGCAGAATAAAGAAAAGAAGAAAGACGTTGGGTTCCAAGAAAAAAGAAGAAAGAACAAACAAACAAATAAAAAAAAGGGAAAAAAATATATAAGATTTCCAGCTCGGGCCACTTTGACAACCCGCACGTGAGCAATACATGGAGGACGACCATGTTTTGGCAGCCCCTTCCCAGTTTATATACATTCTTTAAATTACTCTGAATCCCGTGCGCGGGTCTAGGGTTGACTTTCTCGTAATAAGGGATGCGGACTCGTCTTGATTGATGGGATCGTTTGGAACAAAAAATTCTTTGTTATTTACAAAAAGCAAGTTCTTTTAATTATTTTTATTTTACATATATCACACAAGAAAAAATATTATGGTATATCATATCAAAAAATCTTTTCAAATAATCTTCTTTGGGTTTGTTTGAATTGAATATTATTTGATTTTTTAAAAATAATACTATAATACTTTTTTATGATGTTATGTATTTGAAATTAAAAATTCATTAAAAATTTTATTGAAATACAAAAAAAAAACTTTTTTGGGATTCCTTTTTCTTTATTTATATATTTTGAGAAGTGATTTTCTTTGGTTTATATTAGTTGCTTAAAGAAAAATGTCTTGACGAAGAGTGCAAAAACCATTGATATCGAAGCCAAGAAATAGCACAATATTGTTTAGCGTTACTTGTAATTGGAAAGCACCTCCCTAATAGTTAGGTCTAACTTCAATTTGTGCCATCCAACTTGCACCACTCTTTCTATTTTTTTTTTTTATTTTGCACCTTAAATTTTAATTTTAGACATTTTCTACCTTAAATTCTTAAATTTGGACATTTTGTACCATAAACTTTCAAATTTGCCTCATTTAAATTCAATCAATAGCAATGTTAGCAAATTAATTGCATAAACGACCTTATAACTAAATGGCAGTGTGTGTGTTTTTTTTATAATAATATGATAGTGGTCAAAATGAGTGGAATTGAAACAAAACGATACATTATCATTAATTTGCACCACCTTTTATCTTATTAATTTTGCTACCAATATTAGTGATTGGGTTCATAGAAATTAATGATAATGTACTAATTTAGAATAAAACATTGATTTGTAGCATCATTTATTTCATTAATTTTGCTAAGGTTGTCATGAATTGGATTTTAATTGAACAAATTTGAGAGTTTAGGATGTAAAGTGAAAAAAATGATGCAAGTTGAGGGCAAAGTAGAGTTTTTCCTAATAGTTAATTTATGATTTAATAAAGCATTTTAATCAAAAGACATTTATTCTATAACTATAATAATGCCAAAATGATACACAGATACAACTATTTGTTTTCAAGTCAAAATTAGCAGATTAAATTTAAGGTGTTTCTAATGTAGTAATAGTGACCAAAGAAAAAGGTACATTGTGTTATTGTGATTTATCCTCATTCATCAGTAATAGAAATATGGATATAGAAATTTTGAGTTCACTAATACTTCTTGCAAAACGAATTTAAAAAACCTCTGCATACTAAGATGGGCCTGCATATGGTCTCAGAAACTCCAATCCATTAATGCGCTTTAAATTAGACAGACATTTTGGGTTCCTACAAGGCTCAACAGCGGAAATGGCGGCCCGTTGATCCATTCACGTGCCAGTACTCCTACAAGGCTCTGTTTGGATTTCTCAATTTTTGAAAAACAAGTTTTCATATACAATGTTACAGTAATATACACATAAAAATAACTCAAAAAACATATTATATGTATACCATATATAAAAAATAACTACAAATATATGTATATATAAAAAAAATAGACCACCACCTATCACTCTTCACCGCCACCACCCCGACACCCATGACCTTCCATCATCTCTCTCTTTATTTTCCCCGCCCCCAATTCCCTCACCCCTCCATTGACCGCAACCTTTTTGGTTGCGACTAAATTTGATCGCAATCAAAAGGTTACGGCCAAAAGCCGCGACTCATGGCTTCTGGTTGTGACCTTTCTAGTAGCAACCAGAAAAGGTCACGACTAGAGCTGTGGCTAAAGTCATAGCTACCACCCGCTAATGGGAGAGGATTTTGGGGTTGGGGGAAAGGAGGGGAGGGGGGAAAAGGGAGAGGAAAGGGGGAGAAGGAGGAGGAAGAGAGGAAGGAAAGAGGGGGGAGGAGAAGTGAGGGAGTGGTGTAATATTAAAAGAAAAAATCTCAAAAAAGTTGTAAATTATAAAAATGCTCCAAAATATATTTTAAAAATATATCTAAAGATAATCCAAAAAATAGTTACAGTAAAAGTTTTTTATATGCACATTTATAGTAATTTTTTTGAAAAATACCCTAAAAACAATTAATTCAAACAGAGTCAAAATTTTTGCGTATACACTTACCAAAATTTGCATCGATTTGACGTTCAAATTCAAAATTTGCAAGCATGACTTGTGGTATTATCCAAACACAGTGCATATAATATCTGTATAAAAAAAAGATAAATCCAAATCTAATTCCAAGATTGGTAAAAAAAAAAAAAAATCTAAATCCAAGACGGGCCATAAGCCCATAAATCCTCTTCAAGTAATTCAAGTCAGTGCCGTCTAATTGAGCCGGTAACAGAATAACACGCAGTAGAACAAAAACGCTGTAATTAACGCCGTCAGATTTTACATTCCATCCCTGCACCCCTTTTGTCCCCTCCAGCTCAAGCCTCACAAATCAAAAAGGAATTCTCAGACCTGCCAGTATTGAAAGCGGGGTCCACGATTCTTAACCTGCACCCTCCGTTTTTGTTTCTTGAGATCCCTCCCCTTCTCCCTCGCTCTTGCTCTTCCTCGCTCTTCTCCTTGTCTAAAAGTAATTTTCTCAGTATACTTCCAAAACCGGTCTCGCACGTTTTCTTTTCTTTTTTTTTGGTTTGGCCTTGGCCCTTCCCTCTCTCTGTCCTTGTTGTTTGCTTGCAAGTAGTTAAATGGTCTCTTGCGATTCATTAGACCGCATTTTGTAGAACAGTGAGGAGGCTCTGCTGGGAACAGATCAATGCTTCAGATTTCGAGATTGGTCGCTTATTGCTCAATCTTTCTATGCTTATTGACATCGGGCTCGTTCTCAATTGATGATATTCATCAAGCGTAAGGCCCCTTTTTTTTTTTGCCCCTACATTTGTTTGTAGAACAAGGATGTTGCTTTGAGTTGTTGGATACGTGAGTTCGTTATTTTTGTTGATCTTCGTGAGGCATTGTGGTTTTTGGATTTCGTTTTTGTTGCAATTTATTCTGACGCTGCTGAGTTTGTTTTCTTGGTTTCTTTAAAATAGAAGATTTTTAGTTCGTTGGTCTGTCATATGCCTGCGTTGCCATTGCATTTTAATTGGTAGTAAATCCGGATGTCAGATTTTTTGTCTTCTCATTTTGTGAAGATTGTTTGCAAAGCAATGAGTTGACAGATTTTTTTTCGCAAGACATTTATATTTTTTTACTAGGACCACAGTTTAAAACAAGAGAACTTAAGTTTTGAGATGTTAATCTATACGTGTATTCAAGCAGCATAATTTCAAGGTAGCTTGGTCTATTTTACCATGTTTATGACTGGTTACATTTAGTTAATATGCCACTGAACTTGATTTCTATTAACCTAGGATAAACAATAAGTGCACGGTTCATTGAGTTGATAGCCATAGCTCATAAAAGAATTTATTTTGTATGTGTTCTACTCAAAGTGGTTTGCCCTAACTAGGCTCTCCTTGATCTGATTTTTTAAAAAATAAAAAATAAAACAAAATTCAATTATGTAGTCATCAGTGCTAGCTTGGAAAATGCTATAAGATTTTTCGTCCTTACCTAGGGGAAGAATAGAACTTTTGGATTTTTTCCCTTCAGCTGCGTAAAAGGTGGACTGGTAGGGACTTCTTGCGTACAAGGTGGATTGGTAGTGACCTCTCGGGTTATAAGAACGATCTATCCTGTAATAAAGGACCATAAGAGGGAAAGAGATGCTGGCATTTTTGCACTTCTTACATTGATAACTTTCAGTCAACTAAGTATATGATGCTGTCTTTATCTTGATTGTTTGAATGGAATTAGTATTTGGATTTTAACACCTTGCATGTTTCTTTTTGTGATATTCAATGCTGATATCTTGTCAATTCTTTCATCAAAGCGAGAAATAGTAATTTTGATATATAGTTATTCAGTTTCACAGCATTACCATCTCTGCCATGTTTTGTGCTGCCTGGTAGATTTTGGAGTCCTTAGATCTCTGATGCAATATTAATGCTCTTTCTATGCTCTTTTCGTCGTACAGATTTCCAATTATAGAACCTGATCCTGGTCATACAAAACTTCGCCTTGCAAGAGCAGGACTGGAGGCAATTGAGAGAATTACAAACCCAATTGCAGCTGTTGCTGTGAGCTTTTCTTTAACGTTACTACTGCTTCCAGTTTGGTTTATGGTTTTAGTTTTTGTTGCATGACCATGAGATTTATGTGGTTTCGATGCAAGAGCTGAAATAAATATTTAGCCTTTTCATTTGAGCTTTACTTTGTTCTGGGATATATTGCTCTCATCTATATATTTTTGTGATGAGGAAGCTTCTAATGACAGGAAAATTTTCTTGTCTTCCTTGTTCTCCATTTCTAGTTAATCCTTTATTCTTATTCATGATTTCGGTTTACAACTGTATTTCAGGTGATTGGTCCTTATCGTTCTGGAAAATCTTTTCTACTTAATCAACTTCTCTCCCTTTCTTGTAATGAAGGTGCAGCCTCTTGCAGTTGTTACTTTTGCAATTTTACTGGTCAATATTGGTGCTTATATAAATTCCCCTTGGAAAATTGGTTATTTGTTTATATATTTCAGGTTTTGGGGTTGGACACATGCGTGACACTAAGACAAAAGGTAGTCAGTCACAGGATTTTGCTAGCTTTTTTGCTTGATACATGCAAACATTCAACAAAGCAACTCTATAAATGAAGAAACATTAAAAAGATTTGATCGTTTTACAGGGATATGGGTGTGGGGAGCCCCATTTGAATTGGACATTAACGGAGTAAAAACATCTGTCTTCTACCTTGATACAGAAGGTTTTGAAAGTGTTGGAAAGTCAAATGTATATGATGACCGGTAATGTCCTAAGTTATATTATGCAATATTCTTTGATGGACTCTAAATGTATAATTTTTTATTTATGTTTTCTGTATTGGCAGGATTTTTGCTTTGGCAACTGTTATGAGCTCTGTGCTTATCTACAACCTACCTGAGACGGTCTCTCTCTCTCTCTCTCTCTTGCTTTTCAAAAATTGGTAATTCCAGTCCCAAAGGAAAAGCATTTCACAGAATGGCTGTCGTAGAAGTCAATTTGCAGAAATGGAATGCTAAAGTGTTATGAAACTAGATTTCAAGAGTGAATTTAGTTTTAAGTGATGACATGTCAGTAAATTTCACGTCACTTTTACCTTTTTAACTGAAGATTTTTGGTTTTCGAATCCAATTTTTGTGCCATTTTATCCTGCAACCATTTTTGTGCAACAGCCAAGTTGTCATAGAGTTAGTTATTTCGCTGTAGTTTCTTGATTCAATTTTATGTTCAGATCCGTGAAGCAGACATTTCTCGGCTGTCTTTCGCAGTTGAGCTTGCTGAAGAATTTTATGGAAGGTATGCAATTTAACTCTGTGGATAAAAGTTTACCATGCCTTGGGTCAATATGTATTTCTAATATACTTGTTTATCTTTTCTCTGTCCTTTTATTGTCATGCCACTTATACCTGCTTTCACATGGTGGATAGGGTGAAGGTAATAGCTGCAACTCTTTCTTTAGCATCATGTTATCTCACATAAAGTGAAGAAAATAGAGGAAGAGTGTCTGATTAAGTAAATGTCTTTGCAGGGGCAGGATGTTGCATTTGAACCTGCTAAGCTGCTATGGCTTATCCAGCGTGACTTTCTGCGTAAGTGTCCTTGAATGAATGTAAGCCATGTTGTTTTTAATCCTTGTGTCAATATCCTTTTGGCCTTCTGTAGACTCTTTGTGCAACCATGCCCCGAATAAATGTGGTTTTGGACCTTTTTTGAGTTTCCCAACACTTGACCCTCAGAAATGAAACAAAATGTGTGTGTACATTTTATTGATTTTCTATTTATTGAAAATGAATGTGGAAAAGTGATTTTCTGACAAAGTTATGATATGTAGGTCAACTAGTCTGGAAATTCTTAAACCATCCTTTGAAAATTTTCACATAAAGACTTTTGAAGCTGGGACTTTTTATCATGTTTTTGCCTGAGGTTATGTTGGCATATTGAATCTCTTTTGTTGATGTCATGCTCTCTCTCTCTCTCTCTCTCTCTCTCTCTCTCTGGTTAAAGTGGGTATTGCTTTTGACCTCATGCAGAAGGAAAATCTGTGCAGCAGATGGTTAATGAAGCTCTCCAACATGTACCTAACTCTGATGGTTAGTTTCGTTCTGCATGTATTTTTGTGCATAGGTGATTTTATATCAAGCAAACTGCATTTAAAAATTAAATCTTACTTCTTTTTTTTTTTTGGCAGGGGACAAAAACATTGACCAGGTTCATGTTCTACCAAAGTCTTCTTAATAATCAGATGGTATTATGAATGAAGATCATAAAATTGGTTTTTATTATCAGGTTAACCAGATCCGTGATTCTTTAGCTATTATGGGTGAAAATAGCACTGCCTTCAGCTTACCGCAGGTATGGATTGTACATTCACGTCAATCATTCTTTTGCTTTTAATCTGTAGGGGTTTATTACACATAAAATGATTGGAGAATTTTGCCAGTGACCTGGTAGAATGAACTGATGCATGCTAAATGTTTGAAGGGGCTTTTATATGTAGAAGATTAGATTTTAAGAAGAGCAGTAATAGCATCAATCAGATGTATGTTGTTGAGTGGAGGTTGGGGGGCTTTGGAGGATGGTATCCTTAAAATCTCTGATTGGGTCTGCTTTCTGAATAATGACCTTGAAGATTACTTGAGCTTTAAGCTAGTGATTCTTGAAGAATTCATCAAATGCAATTTTATGGCTAACTGTTCTTGTCTTTACTAACTTTGTTGGTACTAATTCATCAAATTTCAAATACAGTGGATGATATGATAACCAAGCTTTAACTTTTGTGCAGCCTCATCTCCAAAGGACAAAGCTCTGTGAGATGAAGGATGGTGAGCTTGATCCTCTTTATGTTAAGAAGAGGGAGCAACTAAAAGATCTTGTTGCGTCCCTAATTCGTCCAAAGATTGTCCAGGGCAAAACACTAAATGGAAAAGAGTTTGTCTCTTTTCTAGAGCAGGTGCTTTCTCTAGTTCCAGCGAGATTCAGATTTGGATATGATATGAACCCTCTCATTTAGATACCAGTTTCTCATATATCAGCCTCCAAACCAAGAGCATGCTTTCTGAATAAGCTAACATAGCATGGTAAATGTACTAAAAACTAGTCTACACTGATAACTTTGAGTTGGAGCAATTATTGAATGTTGCATTCTGTGGAAGCAAGAAAGTTGAAATTGTTGAAAGGATTTAGGTCTTTCTTAAAGCAGAGAAACTTCCTCTTTTAGTTTAATTTTCCTCATGAAAGGTTGCATTTCTTATCATGTTTAACTACAGTACCTATGAATGCATCTTAGCATTGTGTAGATTGCTAACATGCTTGCTGCATCCTTCTTTTTTTTTTTTTTTGTTGCCACTTGCACTATCTTGAGTTTATCGTTCGAGTTGCATGTATAACATTTTTTTTATTTTGTAACTTATTGTACTTCCAGATTCTTGAGGCCTTGAATAAAGGGGAGATTCCATCAACAGGTTCCCTTGTGGAAGTTTTCAACAAGGGTATCTTGGAGAGGTGCCTGAAGCTATACAGTGATAAGATTAGCAATGTGCATCTTCCAATGGCAAAGGAAGATCTGCAAGGAACTCATGAAGAGTTTAGAGAAGCTGCTATGAAAGCTTTTGATGAGCAACATTTTGGTCATCACCATGCCAAGAGATCAGTTGAGAAATTGGATGAAGAAATTGAAAAGGTTCAACTCTAGAATAGTAAAACTCTCTGATTGACAAATTGCAAAGTTTTATGTGCTTATTGGCATGTCTGTGCAGGTGCACAAGAATATCATTTTGGCAAACGAGTATCAATCTTCAAGAATCTGTGAGGCTTTGTATATTAAATGCGAGGACAAAATGGATGAGCTTCAAGTGCTTAGACTCCCCTCTATGTCGAAATTCAATGCAGGCTTCCTCCATTGCAATCAAAGTTTTGAGAAGGAATGTGTTGGGCCTTCTAAAAGCAGCTATGAGCAGCGGATGATGAAGGTTTGAAGTTGTATTTCAAGTTTCTGGTTTTCTTTTTGGATTGCAGATTTTCCTAATTTCTTTAGGTTTTATAGTGGGTATTATAACTGAGTGTCCTTGGGTGGGTTGTGCTTGTTTTGTGTGTGTGAGAGGGAGAGAGAGTACAAGAAGAAAGTTCACGTGCGTACAAATATTTCTGAAGCCAAATGTGTTCTTGCTCAACCCAATAGAATGAATTAAACTGGCCTTCCCTGTCTGGGGCAGCAACTCTCCAATTCACCAACTCAAGAGGCTGAGCTACACAGAGGGTGACTGATAGATGATATCTCTGGTTTTAGGAGTCATAAGGCAGTTAATTCTTCATTAAAAAGGGTCTTCAGGAGTAAAACATGCATGGACAATCATTACTCATACTTGGCAAAATGTGGCTATCCTCTGATCTGGTCCACAGGATTAAAAGGGATCGCCTTATGGATTCTCTGCTTTGAGTTGACTAACTAATCATTATCGAAATTGAAAAGTATTTTTCCTGGAAACTTTCACTCCTCTTCTTGTTTCACAGTTTCCACAGTCAAAGTAAGAAAAAACTTACTTTTACAGAGCTATTTTTGGTGCCTTTTATACTGGTTTTTTCTCTCTTCTCTTGCATGTATGTACAGATTCCTCTGATTTGGCTTATTATTGTGGGTTGGTTTTGATGCATTTACATGATCTTGATTGCAGATGTTAGGGAAGTCGAAATCCCTATTTATTAAGGAATATAACCACAGACTCTTTAATTGGTTGGTGGCCTTTTCACTTGTAATGGTGGTGGTGGGTCGTTTTATAATAAAGTTCATTCTGATTGAAGTTGGGGCTTGGATACTATTCATCTTTTTGGAGACATATACAAGGATGTTTTGGTCAGCAGAATCTCTTTACTACAATCCAGTTTGGCATGCTATTGTTGCAACTTGGGAAACTCTCGTCTACAGTCCTATCCTTGACTTGGACAGGTAATAAATCCCTCTTGTTTCAGCTTGTCCTATTAATAGGTTTATCCCTACCTTGGCCTTCAAAGTTTTAATTGCCTTTTAACTTGAAAAATTAAGAATTAGAATTTGTTGGTATTTCCCAGTCACAAAAATTCTGTCCTGTCTCAATGAAATGAATTGTCTCTCTAACTTGTCATTTATCCAATCAAATAAATACCTCCACATCCCCATACTCTAAAAGTGTGCAGGAGAGTATAGTTTGAGAAGAATTTCATTGTCTACAATTATATCATAGAACACAAAACCTATGTCTGTACAAAGAAAATTTTAATGCAATTGATTGGTCAACAAAAGGAGCGCAAGAATTTGGGACGAACATTGGTTCTCAGAAAATATGAGGGTACATAACATATATTACATTCATCTGTAATATTGTAACAGATGGGCAATCCCTATTGGCCTTGTAGCAGCAGTATTTGTTGTCTATTGGCGGTGTTATGGGAGGAAGAAACATGGGCCACGATGGCTCCTACCAGTGTACAACAATCCGAAAGATCGACGAAGATCAGAATGAATGAAAAACAGTTCTTCTAGCGAGCTGTGTTCTTCAGCGTTTCTCAGCAAGCTTTTCCGTTTTTTTTTTTTTCATGCAAAGCAGGCTGGGTGGCTGTGCATATGAACTTATTAGCATCAGACCAAAATTGTGGAGCTGGATGACCAAAGGGATTTCTCGAGCTCCATGATGCAGTGTTGTAGCAAATTCCCATTTTACCATACGACCTTTTTATCAATTACACTAAATTTGTACACAGCAAAAGTGTTCAGGCAAATGGACAAGGCATTTGGCCTTCTGAATACTAGTCATGTACTGTAATCATAGAGGTCAGTGATTAAGCCAGAAAGAACTCAACTTTGCCTCAGCGCAGAACATTGACTGCTTCAAGGACAATTCTCTTTATGATGGCATTGAGCTTGCTGCAACAGTTGCAACAGGGAAAAGCCTTTAGGCTTTGAATGAATTGAATAGCCATTCGGGTAGCTTAGTTGAAGATCCTATTGATCAATTATTTAATTGAGCCGTTAGCTGTAAAGACGAGTCAATTTTAGTTGCAGACATATCGAGCATAGCTTTGGTGGTGATGTCCTTTTGAGAGATCACCCGGGCATGGTTTGAGTCCTGATTGAAATACGCTATTAGCAGGTAGAGTTGAATGCTGAATTCCATTTGAATCTGAGTTGAAAATTATCAAAATTCCTCTCTGGACGTGATTATGGAGCTTGAGTTTCAGGTTCCTCGTTCCACTGGTCGCGGTTATGTGCCTTGTTCTGGAAAAGGGATCAAATGGCTGGTTAGTGCCTTTGCATTAAGAGCCTAATCTAGTTTGTTAATGGGCCAGAACCAGTTCAACCAAATTCATTCATTTTTTTTTGGATTTAATTTTGGCCATTTGTAATCTTAAACTTGGTGCATTGATTGATCAAGACTGGAGAAAAGAAAGTTATGAAACCGTGTTCTCCATTTTTTTGGATAAATTTCACATTTTCCATTTTTTGTATTCATTTTGTTTAGATGACCAACTGCAATTTTCTCCACCGGTGGTTCATTAGTAAACAAATCAAATCTACTGTGAATGTATTACCAACTATTGATAATTTGAGTTAACTGGTAAGATTAAAGAAAAAGAATCAGTTTAGTAGCAAAATAGGCGCCAGAAATCAAATTTATGTTAGTAATAATTTTAAAATTCTTGTTATAGTAATTTGGTTAAAAAGAATCAGTTTCTGGTATAGTTTAAAAAAAAAAATTTACCATTCTTTTTGTAACTTCAGTTATTAGCAACTAAATCGCATCTTAGTAGTAATTTAACAATGCATGTGATGTTTAACTCCATGACTAGTAACTAAACCCAATTTGTGAATATCTTTACCAATCAAAGCCATTAATAATTGTTAGGAAAACAGTAATAACTACAACAATAAAATACGGCTTTGACGTGAAAATTCACTTTCCTTAAGGAAATTTGCACCCACTATTCTATTACCGGGTTTGCAGTAATTCCCTCTAGGAATAACAAAGCCAACCAGAATTTCGACACAATAGTATATAGAAATTCTCCCAAAAACGGTTTAGAGAATATTGTTTTGAATGAAACAGAAGAATAGTAAGACAAAAGTAAAAAGTGAGGCCTCTGTTATCTGAACACTATTATTTATAACGTTTAGATACTCCAAAAGAAATATCATGTCTTTTGGAAACATATTTCTTCATGAATAGGCACCTTTTAAAATGAATGGACACTTAACGATTGTATGCGTTGTATCACCAGATACAACCCTTAAAAGAAAACCGTTTAGTTAAGAAGAAATATTAAAACGAAATTAATTTTAATATTTTCCATCGAAGTCATTTGACCATTAAATTTATATCTTAATTTAATAGTCATGCACTTGGTATTTTGACCATTAAAGATTGACACATGCATTCTAAAACAAAAATATTTTCCATCGAAGTCATTTTCCTGAAAAATCACTTCCTTCTCCATAATTTTTCAGTGTTTGGTTATTTAGTAAAAATATTTTCCAAATTCCTTTTTTCATAATTTTCTAGTGTGTGATTTATCAGTGAAAATATTTTTTGACTTCTTTTTTTAATGTTTGTTGATATGTTGCAAATATTTTTCTATTCTTAAAACATTCATCTAATTACAAGTTTGTTTTAGCTTCTATCCATTATAATCATATTATTATTTTTATAAAATATTTATTTAAATTACACCATGAATTATTAATGACACTATTGAATTGGCTTTTGATCTTCCTTTTAAAAAAAATTATTATGGGGTGAAGTGGATTCAATACAAATCATTGTGTGTGTCAGAAAATGGATGATTTTGATTGGACATGGGAAAAGGATGCTTGCTTGTCCTATTCATACCACTAGAAAGCAACCATCGAGACCCAGACTGTAGCTGTCTAGGATCAATTAACATGCCCCTACCATTTGGCTCAACATTAAAACTTGTGACATGGACACCAGAGATTTTAAACAGACAGATGAATGGTGCATTGATGCACTTATGATTTTCTTCAGCACTGGTTCCTTCCATAACAAACTCTTCATTCAGATCATCCTTTTCGTTGCTCAAATCCGTTTCTCTATTTTGTGTTGTGCATTTCGGCATGCACAGGAATACAAATTCTTTCAACTTGAGCCAGAGCAAGCATTGATGATCCAACCATTTCAAAGTCACGAAAAGGATCTCTGAGCTGCAACCTAAGAGCTAATGTGAAGTTGTTATCGAACAAATGACTGTAAAAAATGACTGTTACTTCCTGATAATGTAACTCATAGACCATTTCTAGTCACTGTAAACCACCTAAATTGAAAAGATCAGCATGATGAGCTGCTAAGATTTTCAACATCTCTCCATCAACTTCATTCTCATAATCAATATCTACTGCATCTAACCTGATCTATTCATCCAAGGAGATATAGAGTTTGATTAACTCAGCAATACCATCATCCCCTCTGACATCCAAAAGTTGCAATGGAGTGGATTCCAAAGATCCCATAACCCCACCTAGTTTAACATTCTGGCTTACGGAGGTCCAGTTCTTAGTAAATTGGGGCCTAATGCTTGAAGGTGCTTCTGCATCTGACTAGCCACATTGAATCCTCAACCCTTCAATGGAGAGAGCTTCAAAATTAGCCATTGCTAATGGAACAAGATCTTCCAAAGACACGTAATCTGAATGTACTTTGTCTATTATTGAGCCAAAGTTTGGAGCATTCTGACTGTGATCTATTACTTTTTGTGAATCTTTAAAGGGAGCTTACTATTATGTTAGAAGAAATTAACGATGCAAGAAAATCCCTATCGATTGCAGCAAGGTTCCAAAATAATTGAACAGGCAACTGTAACATCAGAGCTTCATTATCTTTTCCTACCAACATTTTCAGTCTTTCTAACAAACCAGAAGTTTCTTCTTTTTCTCTTCTTTTTTTTTTTCCCGTTTTCCATCTTTCTTAGTGTTGTATGCTTGATACAGGGTTCCAGAAAATCCCAGCAAAACTAATGCAACAATAAATGCCATATAGAAATAGAAATCTGTAATAACAATCCTGCTCAATTATTCCCTATCCTTTCCTTTTTTGAGTTTTCTTGGTCCAAAATTACCAGTAATAAACTATCAGAGCTTCATCAAGCTCTGTACAATCTCCAAGAAACGAACACAAGCAAACCCAATGTGTGATTGTGCGTGTAACAAAAATTATCTTAATGGGATACAAAAGTCATCAAAGCAAGAAACTTTTTCTGCAATTCCTTAAGGGAACAAAGCAGGTTCTAAAAAAAAATCAACAATAAAACCTACTATGCATAAATCAAGAAAACTGCCCCACTCAAAACTAGAAATTCCAGTAAAAATACTACTAAAGATCAATAAGCAAGCAATAAGTTTGACTCACCAGGACAATGAATTGCGATATGATCCAACCTTTCAAGAAAGTAGGAAAAGAATTAATAGAAAATGATGAAGAGCTTCAGCCCACGACCTGTAAGAAGAAGGATTAAGAGAATAACCCAATTGAAAGAGTAGCGTACCTCTGGAAGTGGGTCTTTGCCGGAGCTGGAGGCGCTGCCGGCGAAGAACGATTGGTTTGCCGATGAGTCTTCAGTCGATGGTCTTCAATCGTTGAGAATGGGCATTTGCCGATGTGGAAGGATGCCTTTAGGCCGTGATTTTAAGAAGAGGCCGTGCTTTTAAGAAAGGAAAACAACTTCAAAATAATAGATAAGGAAGTTATTTTCCTTCCTCGGTGTAAGTTATTTTCCGTCAGAAATCATTTCCCAAATTAGATTGTATCCAAACAGTGGAAAATTAGGAACATTTTCTGGAAAATATTTTCCGTCCAACCAAACAGACCCTAAGAGATCGAACTTCTACACCATAAAGGATCACATGCCGCAAGATTTGAATCACACCACAGTCCAAAACAAATGACTGGACAATTTTGTTTATGCCCGGGCTCGAACTTTGTACTGCCAGTGTGACAGTTTGACTTGCGTGACAACAAACTCCACCGTAGAGTGGCGTAGACAATTCTGTGCCACCGGCGATCTCGAAGTACGCTTGAACTAAGATCATTATCAGCATTGGAGTCGGCTCCATCTCCAGCTCCGGACCCAAGAGTCTAGGGTTTTGGAGCATAACATGGCACCATCAACGAGTACGGCACTCAAGCTTGAAAATTTTGTCGAATCTTTGGATTTTGCCTCCTTGTTTGGAGGACGGTGGAAGCTATGGCAGTTTCCGAAATTCTCCGTACTAGATGCGTCGTGCTAATTTTCAAGTATGGGTGGAATTGCACTGCAAATGAGGAGATTTTCAACTAATAGGTAGTGTCTGAATTGATTTTGGAGTTCCTATCTATTTCCTTCAATTTCTTAGTAAGATATTTCAATTTTGGTGTTTAAATGTTCTCTGAATTCAAGTACTAATTAGTAAGTATTCGATATAGTAAATGGTTATGAAGAATAACGAGTGGCGGTGACAAAATACATCGAATAATTGTGTGCATGACATTTATGTAAAGTTAATCTAGTAATTAGGAGATAATATTGCAAAATCCTTGATTTTGTACTTTAATTTTGTTCCCTTTCCCAGTTTTGGATGCATGTGGATTTGCTTAATCTTGAATGATGTTCCCTTCTGAGTTTTACATTGGTATAATTGACTGCATTCAGGCTTGGTACCAACTTTCCATTCATACTCCAAATAGAAAAATAAGTTTCCCTCTTATGTTTTCCCATAGTGTGTTTGGTTCATTGAAAGGGGTCAATCCCTGGATGATGAGTTTCTAATAGACCCAATTGTTCAAGAAGAGAATCATGTGTTCCCAAATTCTGATTAGTGATTAAGTTGGAAATGTGTTAGTAGTATTGACAACAATCGGCTATTTGGAATAAGCTATGATGCTATGAAACTTGTTCTAGTCAACTTGTATCACTATCTTAATAACATAGCTTATAAAACAAGTGAGCAAGATTCTCCGTATATGAATTACCATTCCCAAGTACAGTTCAGAATTATGCGTCAAAATTAGTTATGCATATCAGCAACAAGGGTGTAGGTAACACTAACACCACTACAAAATGAAAGAAGTATCGGCCCTCCCCCTGAGGGGGATTAGAGAGGGGTAACTACAACAAAATACATTCAAAATGTAGCTTGATTTCCAGGGAGTCTTCATGTAATTCTAACCTCTTAATCCTTGAAGCTGCTTCGAACTGTACTGACAATGTCATGCAACTGGCCAAAGAAGAATGTTCTAGCATTTTTTCTTATCAGTATCTCGACTGTTTTCATGCATGTCAAAAAGAAAAGATGAAAAGAAATAAATGGAGGTTATGAAAGCTTTGAAACAGTTATAACAGAAATAGGCGATTGTATTTGAGAAAATACAATTTTTATTTTTATGTAGTTACTTTTATGCTTTGCATGGTTTTCAAGAAGTTAGACTGCAGCTTCTTGTCAAAAAATTTATCTTTCTCAAAATTGGGCAGCCAATTATAGAACAAAGGCACATGGAAATAATACAATTGAATTGCCTTTAAATAGGATTGACAACAGAGATATATATGTATACTTTTGTTATTGACTAATTTGAAATATTGAAATATTATAGTGGTTCAAATTGCATTTCTTGCATGGATGGAGTTTAGTTATTTAGATGCTCATTTGATAAGTACTCCCAGTGTTCTTATTTGATGAGTTGCAAAAATATGTGGCATAGGAATATTTAAAAAAAATTATTTCTACTATGCGATGTAGCAATCCAGATTTATTTCTTTGCTATATCCAAAACACGACAAAGTTATGCACGTGATTGAACACCCTGTAAACATTCGACAAAGTCCTACTGTCAGTTTTGTGATTTTGGACCTTTGGTATCCAGGATAATCATACATGGTAAGTACAAATCTATGGGCTACAATAAATATTTTTTGTCATGTAATTAATGCTGTTGTGGTTATATACACCTCTCACTTCCACAATTGCAAATCACTTGAGATTTTCCTCATTTCATTAGATCTCTGTTCATCAAAACATCATGTACGATTCATGAGGTTGATTGCCTAAATTTCTGAAAAGTTTCTCATAACATTTCTCTTTTATGAGTTTCATCTGTGGGTGACACTAGTCTGATGGTTCCAGTGCCCTTTCTCTTTACTTTTTCCCCTTGTAGAATAACAACATTTTATGAAATCTGATTATGTAATTTTCTTTTTTGGTTTCCAGTTTTCGCTTGGGAAGATGAATCGTGCAAGAGCAGGAAGTTGCATTCATGGTTGGTAGTTCTACTCTGCAGTTTGTTCTTTCTCTGTGGTTTTCCTGAAGTCATTCCTTTGGCAAATGAGAATTTTCATTTTTGGGCTTTCGTATTTGTCTGTTTCGACATGACTTCTATTAGTTTTTGTCTGTCACTTCCTTTATGTGTGTGTGTGTGTGTGTGTCACTTCCATGCGAAAATTTATTTTTTTATTTAAAAGAAAAAGAATTTGTCAAATTGATTATGGCTGATCAAAACCTCATTTTGAAATTTGGCACAACTTTTTGTTTCGAATCACATTACTGTTGTTGCAATTTTTGATGGATAACTGCTAGTCTAGAAGAGGAAATTATGGGATAAAAATTACCCAACAGAATGTGCTTATTGAGGGCAACCAGACATGTCTATTAAAAAGAGGTCATCAATATTAGAGTTGCTGACAAATTGATAAGAGAAATTAAGGAGAGGATATAAAAGGAAAAAAAAGAAAAAAGAAAAATTGCTATGGTATATTAACATATTTAAAATATTCTCAAAAGTACTCTTTCCTTTGTTTTAGATCTTCCTTCTTCATTTATTCTTTTAGAAATTTATTAACTGGTTTTACTTGATTAACAAAAGGTCTTTGTTTTACTTTTGCTTACAGTTGTTCGCTGATTAATGTAGTATAGTTGGATTGGCTTTTGGCAGAAGCTTATTAACATTTAATCTTTTCTCTTGATTGTTAGCGCCTATCTACATAGAGTCTAGTGATTCCTCACTTGTGGTTTTGAATGAGCACTCTGCTTTGACCGGCCTGACTGCAGAAAGCGCTGTTCATGGAGTTGTCAACCAGGTAAGAGAACTTAGTTATACTACATGAATAGCCTAGGATTCAAGTGAGCTACCCTTATATCAACTTCAACTATTGTTCTACTGCTAACGTCATTGTAACGTAAATGTCATGAGTGATTTTGATATGTTTCAGGAAGCTCAGGAATATTTGGAAGGTGTTGTGAATAGCTACAGTAATGCAACTATGACGTTCAAGGTTATCACTCTTTTTCTTTTGTTCCATTCTTTTAACTTTTAAGGTTAACACTCCTTGTCTAATGCAGATATCATCCTGTGTTTCCTTTTAAATGTCTGAACTGAGTTTTATATCACAAAAGAGCTAAATGAATTATAAAAATATTAGCTAAACAACACTCTTATCCACAGACTACAGCTGATAATGGTGACAATGGAGAAACTGTCCCTATCCAGACTATTCAAGTACCTATTGCTGGGGATTTAACAAGGTAAAAAGTACTTGCATTCTTTTTCGATATCTTCTGAATTTGATAATCCGTTTGGATTCCTCATTTTTTGAAAAACAAGTTTTTTATATACAATATTACAGTAATACACAAACAAAAACAACTTAAAAAACGCCACATCCATACAGTATATCAAAAATAACTTCAAATATACAAAAAAATAAAAAATGAAATCTACACCATGTTTTTCTTCCATCAATCACCACCACCCCTACCCACCACCGTTGCATCCCCTCCTTTTTCCTCTTTCCTCTCCGTCCCTCTTCCTCCTCCCCTCCCCTTTCCTACCACACCCCACCCTTCCCCTTCCTTCCCAAATCTGGCCTCGACCAGAGGCTATAATCTGGTTGCGATATCGTGACCAGAGAGGGGAAGGGGAGGGGTGAGGCGTGGAGGGGAAGGGGAAGGGGAAGGGAGGAGGGGGGAAAGAAAGGGAGGAGGAAGGAGATGGAGGGGAGAAGGAGGAAGACAGAGAGGGAGGAGAAAGGGGGAGGAGGGAGGAGGAGGGAGGAGAAGGGAGGTGGTGGTGGGTGGTGGTGTTAATTTTTAAAAAAATCACAAAAATTTTTAAAATTTAAAAATATTTCAAAATATATCCCAAAAGCATCACGAAAAGCATTTACAGTAAAAGGTTTTTCATATACATTGCTATCGTAAAATATTTCAAAAACACTCCCAAAAACAGTTAATCCAAACTTGATAAAACGAACAGAAAAGACTTGGAAGCTTCTTTTATTTGAATTTGTATTCTGCTAAACTGTTGTATTTGATAAATGTCCTATATACAAAGTCTTTTATGAGGCATTCTGTATAAATGTTAATCTACTGGTGTATTTTTTTTTTTGTATAAACCTTTTTGATTTCTTATACTGGTTTTTTTATGTGCCCATGCAATTTGGATATGATAAAAAGTTTGAAACTTGATAAAAAGAACAAAAAAGACTTGGAAGCTTCTTTTATTTAAATTTGTATTCTGCTAAACTGTTGCATTTGATAAACGTCCTACATACAAAGTCTTTTATGAGGCATTCTGTATAAATGTTAATCTACTGGTATATTTTTTTTGTATAAACCTTTTTGATTTCTTATACTGGTTTTTGATGTGCCCATGCAATGTGGATATGAATAGCAATGACGAGTTGGCTCTGAGAGCATCTCAACAGCTATCAATTGGCGGACGTGGATGCGCAAATAATATGCTCAATGAACCTCTAGATTTCCAAGTGCAAAGTCATGGTGTTTGTTTGCCAGAAGATGCTGGCACTGGTGGAGTTCGGCATTCACCGAGGAAACGTAATCAGGTATGAGTAGACACTAAGACTTTTCATTGGGTATTTAAATGCCCCAAGAGGTTCAATAGATCTATAGTGTGCAAATTTTTGTTAGTGCATGAATGCGTTTTGGTTTTGAAAGGAGTATACACAAATCCAGAGTAGCTGAAATTTTTATTGAAATCTGGATGATACCCTATTGACTCTGTATCATGCGCTGATTTTCTTTGACAAACCTGATTCCTGTATAAGATGATGGGATGCCTCTGTGAAATTCATTTGCAGTCCAATTGCCTCTTAAAACAAATCTGACTACGTTTTCAAAAGAAAAGAAACTCCAAAAAGCCTAAAAAAGTAAAGAAAATCATATGAGTTTTCTGAAATCCATTTCCAGCATTACTTTGATAGGTTGATGTTTGAGATGAAAGATCTTTTTCTTCTTCCCTTGTTGCTTGCCGTAATAAGGAAGTCCTAGGAACATGGAAAACTCAACTTCATTGTCCATGGTAGGGTTATTCTTTATTTTAACCACATAGATGGATGAGACCCCTAAAGAATATGTAGCTTTATGGACAGCTGTTGCTATGTAGCTAGCCCTTTGCCAACTGTTTTTAAAACAGGCAGGTATCCGTATTGGCAACAATGTATTTGTTTACTTCTGTTTGCATCACATAAGTATGCGCATATAGAGATGCATCAGATAGATGATCGTTTGGGGTTTATTTTAACTTATAGTATTTTCTGCTGAAGATGTCTCTCTAGTCAAAGCAAAAGGAAGAACTTAAATGGTTTTTTTTTTCTGGGCGTGTGTATTTTTTCTTCTTGGAATTTGTGGGTTCATCTGCTCAGCTAAACAAAAATTGTTACCTTTGCAGGTTAATTACTATGAAGGACCAGCGAGATCTGCTAAAAAGGTGCCAAGGTACAAGTAGATGCATTGCTTTTTATCTGAATTTTATAGTATGTGACCTCTTAAACTTAACTCATCATGGTGGCTACTTCTTATTACTATAAGATTTTTCGTTGCTACAAGATGTACACTTTACGTCAACACATTCTTTATTTCCAGGAATGCAAGCGAAAAGCCTTGCAGCGGTGGGCAGATGAAGAAGAAGTTTACAAGTCTAAGGATCCGAGCATCCTTCTATCCCTAGTGACGAGGTTAGTGCTCTTTTCATAAAATATGACTAGCTTACGTGTATTTTCTGTTTATACAAGGTTAGTGCTCTTTGCATAAAATATGACTAGCTTATGTATATTTTCTGTTTACTTAGTCTTCTTTCTCCTGACGAAAACAGGTTTTGGATTCAGAAAGAAGGGCAAGAAACAAGGCCTTAATTTCTTTCTCACTAGATTCTCTCTTCTGTGTCCCGTTAGCTTTACCTCATGTTTGTTTTGTAACGAGTCCAGGATGCTAGATTGTGTATGCAACTTTTACATACAATGTAACATTTGAACAACCTTCTAAGTTTTTTTTTTTTTGGGAAAGCAGAAACTTTATTTGAAGAGGCTCAGTATTCTGACATACTGTTGGATGTTTTTCTCTAACTTGTTGATGTGGAGGAAGAATCATGTAGGGTTTGTCCTTTGCTGGGACGTCATTTACATGTTTGGAGTCAGGAGTATAACTGGAGCATTTGCATGCCGTAGATAAGCACTGTAGACGGTGCTGTCCCTCTAGTTGCTTCCATTCCTCCTTTTTTCTGGTTTGGCTTGTCTAACCAGTCGCGGGCTTCTTTGAAGTTAGCTCAATCTAATCCGTAGATCTTATTAATTGTTAGATCCCAGTTCTTGGAAGCAAGATCTTTTTCCTTTTCCATTTTGTGAAAATCATGTTTTGAAGTTTGCACCCCATTTAATTTGCATTTGGTAAGCCATGTCAAAGCTGGCTTTTTGTAGTGATTTCCATGTTTCCTTGGCTTGAAAATTTATGTAAAGGTATGAAGCTTGAAAATGATGTTGACTAAAAATATACCTTTAACGTAGTATCAATTTTCTTGCCTTGCTGTGGAGGCTGGATTAAGGATTAAGAACAAAAGGGAGAGAGAGGTCCTTTTTCCCTCTTTCAGAACAAGATGGAGGCAGATTTGATTAATGGTGGCTTTAACTTTTTACAAATAATGTTTTTAGTGTTGGTAATCTATCGTTTTTATGTTGCGGGTAAGTGTTTCTGCTAGTTTTTGCTTGATCTGTTACTGTTAGTGATTAATCTCATCGCTGTTAATGATGCCACGTCCGTTAATAATTACAATTTGAATACAACTACTGATTCTTCATCTCAACCAATTGCGAAGAGCAAATGACTGACAGGAAGAATTCATCTAGGCAAGGAACAACCTAATACAGCCCCCACTCAGCAGCAGCAGCAGCAGCAGCAGGAACTCCAACAACCCACCGTCACCACCGTCAACTCCAACAAAAGTTAATCCATCCACTCCACTCCACCGTCACCTTGCTACAGTGTGAAGATGGACGCTTCCTCCTCCGAGCAGAACTCTGCGAACCAGCAATCATTTCAACAGCCACACTCCGGTCAACTCCAACAACCCACCGTCACAGACACCCCTCCTTTAACAAATCATCTCTCCTGCCCGAACACCTTACCTCCACCCCGGCCACCCCCGTATCCAAAGTCTTTCAAAGACCAACTCTTAAACTCATTACAGATTGAGTTTAATACCCCGCACCCTGTCGAAGCAACAAATGTCAACCCCTCCCTTGCTGCAAACATCTCAAACCATATGTCTACTGACGCTGGCTCTAATACACTATCCATATACTTTCCCGACTCACTCTGAGAAAGATTTAGGACTCCTTGGAATCTTACCCTCATAGTGAAACCTTTGGGGAAAAGTCTGTGTTTCAAGTATTTTGATCTAAGCATTAGGCGCATCTGGAAAACTGCAGGCCCATTCTCAACACTGGATCTCGGTAGAGACTACTTTGCAACCAAATTTTCAAATCCGGAGAACTATCATAAAATACTAACTGGGGGACCATGGTTCATCAACAAAACCTTCATCACCATCAGAAAGTGATGCCCGTTTTTCAACGCTTTGGAAGCTACATCAATGACCACAACCCTTTGGATCCGACTCCCAGGCCTTCCTCTCGAATTCTATGATGCAGAAGCTCTCAGCCTCATTGGTAACAAGATTGGCAAATTAATCAAGATTGATGCTATAACAGCAAACACCGAAAGAGGATGGTTTGCTAGATTATGTGTAGATTATGCATCGAAGTGGATCTTACTGATCCCATACCCACAACCATTGTGTTGGATAGTTACATCCAACCGATTCTAGTAGAAAGCTTATCCTTTTGTTCCTGTTGTGGCAAATTGGGCCATGACCAAGCCTACTGCACAAAACTTCCCCTACTACAAGCTGCGACACCGGCAAAGTCATAAGGACCGGGACCATGGTCACACATTCCGACCAAATCCAGGAGAACAGCTCTGGGAAACAAACATCACCCACCATCTCGGGCTATTTCTTTCAAATTCAAACCACCTCTTAAAGGCCAAGACTCCTGGTCAACCCTGCCATAATAATTTTAATGCGGCCCTTTTGTCAAATCCTAAAGTCAGAACTTCTTGGAAGAAGAAACCTTTTCTCTCAGATAAGAGGGACCCAAACCCTTTTTCACCTCTCAAGTAGGTCTTAGACCTAGATGCTTTTTCTCCAACCCCCAATAAATCTAGGGAAAATTGCAGAAACCTCCCCTGAAACTACTGACAGTTGCACTGAGCTCCCCTCTAAGTTCTGAAATGGCAGATAGCACCCCTCAACAGGAACATTAAGTTGCAAAATCAGTCCAGGCAGCTTCAATTCCCATTAAAAAATTAGCTGTACAAGTGAGATAAAAAATTTGTTCCAAATTTGCCCTGATGTTGGTTGACAAGTAGTATTAACAAGGGAGGGGCTTTTTCATTAAGCACAAGGAAGTTCAGGGGGTATAAATGCAACAACATGCTTCCAGATGATGACCTGCAACAACTTCATTTGCTGAGAAACCAACGGCTACTTAACGGCTAATTGATGTAACTAAGGCACTAGCTTATAAACGATGGTCAGTAGCAAAATGAATACCAGAATCTGGACTCATGTATGCATCAGCAATTTTCCAGCTCAAAACACAGCTTGCTTGATACTCAGTTTGGCAGTTTCAAGTCATATTGCAGAAATCAGAAAATGGCTTCTTCCAGCCACAGGAGAACATCATGGAACTCTCCTACATCCTTCACAATACAAAACAAATATTGCTGGTGCAATAGAAAGGCAACATTGAAGATTTCTGAGTCTGAAAACAACCCCAACAAATTATACTTTTTTGGGTAAACAACAAAAAAGCCCCCTGTGGTTAGGCAATCATACATAAAAACCCCTTATGGTTTCATATCATACCAGTCGATACCCCGTGGTTTGAATTAACCTGAAAAGTGGACGGAAATCGTCAAATATTCGGCGTGTGTCTTAAACGAACTGCAAAGGCGCGTGCATATGCGAAAAACAGATTTCCACCACAAACTTTCACCTGATATGCCTATTTTAGCCTTCACTCTTTAATAATAAGAGACCAGCTTCCGTTTCTTCTGAGTCTTCATTCAATCTGTTTCCAGATTATTCATTAACTACTGTAGACACCAAATTTTTAGTGTATTTTTATTTACTGTTATTTTTATTTTTCATGCTAGTTTTTATTTACTTTTAGTCTTTTATTTTTGTTTTAAGTCATTTTAGCATAGAATTTATTTTATAAAAAAAAAAAGAGGGAAACCCGCAAGCGGGTTTCAGGCTATTTAACAAATTACTTTAAAAAAAAAAATTTTTTTTACATGCAAGCTGCGTTGAGTTGCACATGCCCATCGGAGGGCCCTAGGATGCCCAGCAAACCTCCCCTCTCATCCTCACCCTTCAGGTGAGGGTTTGAGAGTATGTGTTTGATATAAATAGAACAGAAACGCAGCTTTTAGTCATTTTACATAAGGGGGAAACCCGCAAGCGGGTTTCAGGCAGGCTATTTAACAAATTACTTAAAAAAAAAAAAAATTTACATGCAAGCTGCGTTCTTCAAAAGGGTATTTTCGTCTATTCACTCAGCTCCGTCTGTTTTGCCGATTTCCGTCCACTTTTCAGGTTAATTCAAACCACGGGGTATCGACTGGTATGATATGAAACCACAGGGGGCTTTTATGTATGATTGCTTAACCACAGGGGGCTTTTTTGTTGTTTACCCTACTTTTTTTGTGCAAAATGCAAGTACTTCCAGTGGTATGAGGGTCCAGAAGAAGAAGAGGTTAACAGTAGAAACTATGACACCAATTCAGTGCTACAATCTCACCTACAGCAACAAAGGTCTATGGCTGTTAGAAGGGAAATGCCAATTGTTCTGACAAGTGCAGTGGCTATACTTTTCATCATCAATCTCATACTTGTTGCTGTTTATGTTTTCATCCATATTGTGAAGTCAATAGGCTGATGCTATCCAGAAATGTACATTAGTGATGAAGTAGATATAGCTGCAGTTCGAATTTATATGTAAGACATAGGAGAGGAACAAGTTCCCTTCATCATGTATGCAGCAGCGTTTGTAGTTTACAATATAAATGCAAGCCAGAGTTCTGTTTATATCTACTGTCATCAATACAAAATCACTTGTTACCAACAATACAAAACAAAACAGTCACAGAAGCATACTTGTATTACAAGATTAATGCATTAATACAACAAGTCTGATCAGAATTCAGTAATTTGAAGTACTACAAAAGTGAAACACAACAGGCAAGTAATAGCAGAGCATGACTGAGCAATCCACAAAAAGTTCAAAACACCATCTGAACCATTAAATCACTTAGAACAGATGGTGAGGATTGCAATGTCATGAGAGGCAGAAACATGTCTAAAACTGCCACAGTATAGTACAAAATAGCTCTGTTATGTACATAATTAATGGCATACTACTGAATTGATACTTTCAGCAGTAAGCATTCACTTGCCAAAACTATAGAGATAATATCAGAATTGCATACTAAAACTGCTATTGTTGCTAACATTTGTTGAGTGCAGTGTTGTAGCTGCATTGATGGATTCAGATGCAGGTGTAGCAACTTGAAATGTAGCAATTTGCTGATGACCAGCTTGTTCCACAATTTGAGTGATCTGAGTAGTATTTGAGTAGTTTCTCTTGCTGCTCCCTCTAGCAGATGCTCCAGTATTGCTTAAAGGTCTTCCTCTCTGTACAATCACACGTGTTGAACATTACACTCAAGCATTTTATTAAAGCATATCATAAAATGCACTCATTCAATTGCACCTTTTTCTTTGAAGTGGTTGCTGTGCTCTGATTCTGCACATGCACATTCACAGTTGCAGGTGCAGGTTGAGTTGAAGGAGAATGATTGTTGCCTTGGCTTGAGTATACAACTGGAACATTGCCAGAGACATGATCCTAGCAGTAAACATTGACAAGTAATATTAGTTTCGACAAGGCATGTGCTATAAATGTTACAATCAGAAGCTTAAATAAGTTAAAAAATCTTACCCAAAGAGTTGCTCCTGACAGGCCCGTGTTTGCAGTCCCTCTTCCTGGTTTGCCTCTTCTATAGCTCTGTTGTTAAGGAACAAGCTAATTGTAAGTAATGAATTGATATAAAATAATCACATTCAGTAGCAATTTCAGCACATATAACACCTGCTGGCCAGTAGTTCTATTGCCATTCTTCTTATTCTGGACAGGTGCTCCTTGACATGACCTCTTGTTGTGACCAAAAGAGCCACAGTTTCCACACTTGATGCAGCAAAGTCTTTTTGGTTGTGACGCAGACTGTCCTTCATCATGTTCCCTTCTCCTTTTAGTCTTTGGTCTACCTGGAGCTCTTCTTAATGGAGGAGGTAGGACTGTTACAGGTGTAACATATGGCATAGGTGGCCACATTTTCTCATCAGGAATTGGATGAATCATACTTGAATATGTCTTTAAGTATTTATCTCTTGAGAACCAATGCTCACAGTAGGATTCCAGCTTTTCTCTCTTGTAGATAATCCCTAGTGCAGCATGTTTACAAGGAAGGCCTGAAATTTGAAATGCTCCACAATCACAAGTTTTAGCTGATAAATTGACTATGTAGGACCTGTTCATATCCCCCACTTCAAATACATCAGTAGAAGCCATAGTGAGTTCACATTGTCTTGATGCTTGTCCTATTTTTTGTAGTTTACCAAGCATCTTTGGTGTGATGGCAGTGGTGAGCATGCACCCTTTCTGATATCGCTTATGCATTTTCTTCATGAACTTCTTCCTCAACCCATCAACAAGTGTCAAGATAGGCTTCCCTCTTAGCTCACCTATCCATGCATTGAAGGACTCAGTGCAGTTATTTGTGACATGATCACATTTTAGTCCAGTATTGAACGTATATCTGCACCATGTTGTTTTAGGAATTTTGTCCAAGTATTTCCATGCTTCTATGTTTAACTCCTTTATGCTAGCCATGGCTTCATTATGTCCTGCAACATCAAAGCTTTTTGCTGCTCTCCAGAACAAGTTACTAAGCAGAATACCAGGAAATTGAGCTTTAAAATTACTGCAGATATGCCTACAGCAATGTCTTCCACTAGCAACAGGCACTCTCTCTTCATAAGCTATATTCAAGCCCTGAAATGATCACCAAAACATGCAAACAAGTTACACTAAAAAATACAGAATCATTGACAAGTACATAACTAATCCAGAATCTGGATGCATAACAGAATCAGAATAATGTTCAAGGCCTGTTGTGAAGCTCACCTTTTGCCTGTCACTCATGAAGGTTAGAGGACCATGAAAACCATTTTCTGAAGTAAATGGCCCAAAAAACTCCTCAAAGTAATGAAAAAACCAACTCCAGGTTTCTTTATTTTCAGCTTCAGCCACAGCAAATGCAATAGGAAAAATGCTATTGTTAGCATCTAATGTGACTGCTGTGAGAAGCACACCACCATAAGCACCTTTTAAAAAACATCCATCAAAACCAACAAAAGGTCTACAGCCTTCAACAAATCCACTTCTTTGAGCTTTGAAACTAATAAACATTCTGAGAAATCTAGGCTCAACAAGAAGAGTAGGCCTATCATAATGTATTTTGCAGATACTTTGTGGGTTGTATTTCCTGATCAGCTCTGCATACTTTGGCAATTTGGCGTACGATTCAATGTGATTGCCTTCAATCTCATTTCTTGCTTTAGTTAGTGCTCTATACATCTGCCATTTGCTTGGATGCACACCATACTTAATCATCTCAGCTTCTACCCCTTTGGTGGACATGTTGTTTGTTCCTGTTGTGGCAAATTGGGCCATGACCAAGCCTACTGCACAAAACTTCCCCTACTACAAGCTGCGACACCGGCAAAGTCATAAGGACCGGGACCATGGTCACACATTCCGACCAAATCCAGGAGAACAGCTCTGGGAAACAAACATCACCCACCATCTCGGGCTATTTCTTTCAAATTCAAACCACCTCTTAAAGGCCAAGACTCCTGGTCAACCCTGCCATAATAATTTTAATGCGGCCCTTTTGTCAAATCCTAAAGTCAGAACTTCTTGGAAGAAGAAACCTTTTCTCTCAGATAAGAGGGACCCAAACCCTTTTTCACCTCTCAAGTAGGTCTTAGACCTAGATGCTTTTTCTCCAACCCCCAATAAATCTAATACCATCTAGGATCCCCACTCTCTCCATATTTTCCCTCCTAGTGAACCTCTGGCTTCTTCGATCTACCGAACAAGGCGACCAAAGAATTCTATTCACCAAAATGGCAATAAAAATCTCGTTCCTTTCGAAGACACAAATGGGCCCTCTGCCTTAGGAGCATAATTTCTCACAACTCCTCTCCCACAGCCCCTTCAAAACCCATACAAGCCAGAAACCGTTCCACACCTGAATCGCCTCACTTGCCAAACTCATCCAAACTTCCTCTCCCAACTTTCGCCGATAGATTCCCGCCCCTCCACCCCCTTACTTCGAAGGACAAGGTTGTCCCCTCGTCACTTCCATCCCTATCCGCGCACCCAACAAAACAGGAGCCACCAAGTGTTTCAACCACACTATAACCTTCCTCAACCCCTGCTTACCCAACCTCCCCAGCTCAAC